AATTCTTTTGGTATAGCTGACAACAAATAAAGGTGATGTAAGTGAATGCCAAAGATAAATTTGTCTCCTTTTTATGGGTAATATTAAGATTGATATTTATTTTTGGTGCAGCGCAAAATTTAGTTCTTTAAAAAATTATAAAAAAAAATATTTATATTTTTTAAGGTCTATATATAGAAGTAGATAAATAAAAATATTCAAGGCGTAAAATCAATACAAATATTTTTAAGGACCTCTTTAAAAGTCCTATTCAAAAGCGTAGATTTTATAAAAATATTTTTAAAGGCTATATTCAAAGTCGTAAGGCTATTCAAATTTTATAAAAATATGTTTAAGGAACTATTCAAAGGAGTAGATTATTCATAAAAAGGAGTAGATTATTCATATTATTCATAAAAATAGGGACCTCTTCAAAAGAGTAGATTAAAAAATATGTTAAGAACCCTATTCAAAGGCGTAGCATTTTTAAAATATTTATTAAGTCCTATTCATTTTATTTTAAGGACCTATTCGAAGGCGTATATTTTTTAAAAATATTTTAGGGACCTATTTAAAGGCGCATATTTTAGAAAAATATTTTAAGGACCTATCCAAAGGCATATTTTTTATAAAAATTATTTTAAAAGACCAATTCAAAGGCGAGGACATTTCTTAAAACATATTTTTAATCTAAACAATATATATTTCAACGTCGATTGTCCATAATATAATGAAATATTTTTAATATTCCATATTTAAAGGCGTAGATTTCATAAAAATAGGGACCCTATTCAAAGGGGTAGATTAAAAAATATTTTAAGGACCCTATTCAAAGAAGAATTTTTAAAATATTTTTAAGGCCTATTCATAGATTCTAAGGACCTATTCGAAGGCGTATATCTTTTAAAAATATTTTAGGGACCTATTTAAAGGAGCAGATTTTAGAAAAATATTTTAAAGACCGATCCAAAGGCATATTTTTTATAAAAAATATTTTAAGGACCAATTCAAAGGCGAGGACATTCCTTAAAAAAATATTTTTAATCTATTTATAGGAATAGTTTTTTACCAAAATATATTTCAACGTCGATTGTCCATAATATAATGAAATATTCTTAATATTCTCCCACCCCACTGTTACAACTTCGAAATCTGCCACATTCAATTTCCTTAAAACTTATGAAGAAAATTATTCATATCCTGGGTCCTCTTATGTTTCATTATTATTAAACCTGACCACTTTAGTTTCATATTACATTTAATAAATGAAAATATATCCCCAACTCGCTCCTCTTGATTAAGGTAATTAAAGGCAAACCCCCTTAAACTTAAAAACTAACCAAAACCCAAAGGGACATATCGTATTGTCCTTCATTTTATTAACATTTCAAAAAAAAACATAATTAATTATATGAGTATTTCGGATATTATTAAAACCCACTCCTACCTATAAAACAGGGAAATGTTAGACAATAACTATTACTTGAAACAAAAAACCTGGCTAGCCTGGTCGGCAGGATGCCTGCTGCCTGGTATTGGCTGGCCTGTCAAGATGTCGGTAATTGTAAGGCCTAATGAAATGAATGACATGCAACAGCTTGTGGAATATTATGAATTTTTATTTTATATCCATTTCTATAATAACCATCACAATTCTCATCCCCCTCTCTCTCTCTCCCCAAAGGCAAGGGTTGGAATATGCCTGCCCTTAATGTCTCATTTAGTGTGTATGTGTGTTTGGGCCTTGACATTCTGGTGTCAACTAAAGTAGACTAATATTTAATTTTGATGGAGGTGGAGTGGTACGTAATTTAATTATTTTAATGAAATCATTAGAAACTGTTACAAATGCCTGTATAAGTTCTCAGTTTCATGGGGCGATTCGCTTCATAATCGGCCTAAGGTCTTGTTCGAAATTGTTTTGCCAACCTATTATAGCTGGGTAATTTCTTCTCTGGGCCAAAATCGAAAAGCACACAACTCATAATTTTATTATGAGAGGTTATAAAATGGTATTTGTTTTTCGTAATATTATGACACACAGAGGAGGAGAAAGGTTGAGGGAGGGGGAGAGGAGGTAACAGAGGAAATCCAAGAAGCAATGAAAACATCATCATTAGAAATACTAATTTTTGTAACTTTATTTTTATGAGACAATGTTTTTATTGCCGGTTTTGGGTTTTGTCTTTCTTCCTTCGTATTATTATTACTGTCTGTTTGGTGTATCGCCTTTCTCTTTTTTTGGTTTTATAAGACCATGATGGTCAGATATAAATTCCTGTGTACAAAAATCTGTTGATATTTGGTTTTTATGTCGGAAAAAGTAAAACGTCACAATAAATAATAAAAATCTGCGAAACTGTTTTGTTGTGTGTGAAAGCATGACATTTAATATTTTGGGATATCCAGGCCCCTTTTTGTGTGTTTCCAAAAGGACAGAATATTAAAGGACGATTTCTAGACTTCATTGAACTTCCAATTAAATTAGCAAAACGTAGAGTCTACGATTTAAGCTTCGAAAATAAATTAAAAAAAAAATTTAATTACAACATTTGGTGTTTTTTTATGAAATATTTTTAGGCTCCATTTATAGGCTTAGGTATTTTTAAAAATATCCTTAGAGGCCTACATTTTTAAGAATATTTCCAAAAGTTCATTTTTTAGGCATAGATTTGTATGGCCCATTCAAAGGATTTTTTAATAATATTTTAAACACTATTTTATGGGTCTATAAGGCGTAGATTTTTTAAAAAATATTTTATGGGTCTATAAGGCTTAGAATTTTTAAAATATATTTTATGGGTCTATAAGGCGTAGATTTTTTAAAAAAAATATTTTATGGGTCTATAAGGCTTAGATTTTTTAAAAAATATTTTATGGGTCTATAAGCCGTCGAGTTTTTAAAAAATATTTTATGGATCTATACAAAGGCGTAGATTTTTTAAAAAATATTTTATGGATCTATACAAAGGCGTAGATTTTTTAAAAAATATTTTATGGATCTATACAAAGGCGTAGATTTTTAAAAAAATATTTTATGGATCTATACAAAGGCGTAGATTTTTTAAAAAAATATTTTATGGATCTATACAAAGGCGTAGATTTTTTACAAAATATTTTATGGATCTAACAAAGGCGTAGATTTTTTAAAAAATATTTTATGGATCTATACAAAGGCGTAGATTTTTAAAAAAATATTTTATGGATCTATACAAAGGCGTAGATTTTTTAAAAAAATATTTTATGGATCTATACGAAGGCGTAGATTTTTTAAAAAAATATATTTTTGGATCTATACAAAGGCGTAGATTTTTAAAAAAATATATTTTAAAAAAAGGCGTAAATTTTTTAAAAAAATATTTTATGGATCTATACAAAGGCGTAGATTTTTTAAAAAAATATTTTTTCAAAGACGTGGATTTTTTAAAAAATCTTTTACAAAGGCGTAGATTTTTTAAATAAATATTTTATGGATCTATACAAAGGGGTAGATTTTTTAAATAAATATTTTATGGATCTATACAAAGGCGTAGATTTTTTAAAAAAATATTTTATGGATCTATACAAAGGCGTAGATTTTTTAAAAAAATATTTTATGGATCTATACAAAGGCGTAGATTTTTTAAAAAAATATTTTATGGATCTATACAAAGGCGTAGATTTTTTTAAAAAAATATTTTATGGATCTATACAAAGGCGTAGATTTTTTAAAAAAATATTTTATGGATGGAGGCGTAGGTTTTTTTAAACCCATTTTTAAGGGCTTATAAAAATCAGATTTGTAGATATTATTTGTCTATTAGCAATTCTGCGTATAATTGATGTCACAAGTCATACGCCACATGGGACTCCATTAGAAATTACTTAATTTATTAGCTTTTTTCCTTTAGATCCACCAAAAATTTCTTTCTCCTGTACTCCATCTTTATATGAAATATGATTTTCAAATTGCTTCACAAATCTTGTCCTTTCAATTCCAAAGATTCATGAATATTTCATAGAAGGGCTTACTGACATAATAAGAATATATAAAAATCTTAAATACCTTATAAAGAGATAAACAAAGAATGAAGGAGAAGAAGATAAAAAGTAATTTTTCAAAATCCTAATATCCTCTTAAATATCAATTTAAAAGTAGATTTGTTCCACGTCCAAACGAAGAAACCCCCCAATATATATTATGACTTTATGCTGCTGTGTGTCCAATCAGTTTTAACGAACTACTATATCTACCTTCGAAATAAAACAAAAACGAAAAACCCCATCCATTTTGAGCAGCAGAAAGACAACCAAAAAGTATAACTTTCCCTGTTTTAAATTTAGCAGCCAGTTATATATATATATATACATATATAACAAGGAACAAGGATATGGAGTTGAACCCAAACAACAAATAAATAATACCCTCGTTTGTAGGGGAATGGAGAAAAAAATATGCAAATCAGTTTTGAGTATTTTAGCAACAACAACAACCGTGTAGCATTCAAATCTTATTTGTTGCCTTGTTTTTCAGTGGTTCCTTGGTATGTTCCATATTTCTTGGGCTTCCTTTATCCCAAGTGGCTTTTGCCCAAAAGCAGCAAAAAATACACCACTTGCCAAGATACATTTATAATGAACAGCAACAAATGTAATGTTTTGTTTGTTGTGTGTGTGTTTTTTTTTTCGTTTCGCAAAAGGTAAGCCAAGTCTGGCGACTCTCTGCTTAACAGAGATAAAATATATATGAATATTTCCTGTTAAGGGTTAACATCCTTTCCGTTAAGGATATCACACACACAAAACAATACATTTAGACTAATAAACAAAAACGTAAAAAAAAGAAAACAGACTACAGCAAAAATGTAAAATTCCTGCACGGAAAATTTGGCGGAAAATCTGCTATTGAAAATATTAAATAAACATATGCGATGGCCTTTTTTCGGAAAAAGATTTTCTTTTGTTGCGAATTCTTTGTCTACTATATGTGTGGAATTTGAAATTAATTTTTTTCTTGTGTCTCCTTCTTTTTTTATTTACAGATGATATTATCAGAGAAAAACAGGGCCAAACGGTATACGTACCCTGTCCGGTTAACAAGGAGAAATGCGGTGAATTACATTCACTGAATTGGTTTAAGGGTGACAATCGGATAGCGGCCATGCTATTGGATGATAGTAATGTCACAAGTGTGGCAGATGGATATGAAGATAGGTAAGTGAATATATTTACATGTAAATATATATTTTTATTCCAGAAGAAAAAAGAATATTTGTTTATATTTTCTTTAAATAGTACCTAAAGACGTATGAGTAATATTAGTGAAAATAGTAATCATACGCTCCTAAGGCTTTGAATGTGCTATTTAAAACTTTTTTTCTTCCCTTTCTTCCTTTCAGAGTTTCCGTTGAACAAAATCCCTTTAGATTAATTATTAGAAATTTACAAATTGCCGATCAGGACATCTATCTGTGTGATACGACATATTTTATACCAATTGAAACGTGTGATAATTTCAATGGTCATCGTGTGGATTTGAGAGTTTTAGGTAAGTTTACAAAAATAGATTTAATTAATTTTTGTTTTATATAAGTGTGTATTGTGTATGCTTGTATGTGCTTGATGTGGAATGCTAGAATCTATGTGTCATTGTTATGAAAAAATAAATCCCAACATCAACACAGAATATATATTTTTTACATTATCCTACTCGCTCATCAACGAAATTGCATGGAAATCATCATCACAAAATTCTGTTTTTTTTATAAGAAGAAATTAAAAATGTTCTGCGTTATGTCTGTCACACCCACTTTTTGGTCTGCCTCCCCGCCCTGTCCTGTTTCTTTATATAAAAAAATCCTTCTTTGCATGTTGCATTTAAAAAAAAATCATAAACTCCCCAAATCGGTTTAAAAACAAATACCACCAATTGTCTGCTCTATATTTTGCAAATTTTTTTATTAAAATGCTTGTTTGATTTTTTAAAAAAGGCACTAAATGAATTGATTGATCTTAGGGACTACAGGAAATTATTTTCAATATTTTGGACCTAACACAAGGCGTAGATTTTATAAAAATATGATTTCTGGGCTTAATACAAGGCGTAGATTTTATAAAAATATGTTTTCTGGGCTTAATACAAGGCGTAGATTAAAAAAATATTCTTCCTAGTCCTTAACGGGGCCTAACACAGGGCGTAGATTAAAGAAAAAATTTCCTTCCTAGGCCTTAACAGGGCCTAACACAGGGCGTAGATTTTCTAAAAATATTTAGATGTAATTAAAATAATTTCCTAGGGTCTAATTAAAGGCTAAATTCTATAAAAATTGTTTTCGAGTGTTTAAAAAATGGGTAGATTTATAAGAGGCCTAGACATAAGAAATTCTAGGGTTCAGTATGAGGCGTGTTTTTATAAAGATAATTTCTATAATCCAATAAGAAGTGTAGATGTTATAAAAATAATTTTCTCGTATCCATTAATTATATTTAGTGCCTTTTCCTATTATTTTAAACAATTCTCATAAAGTTCTGTCTGCCTGTGAGCATTTCGTTTTTTGTTACGCTTTGTTCGTCTGAAATTTTTTTATTACCAAATTTGTTCTTTGCCTGCCACCAAACTAAAATTTGCTCCCTCCCCCATATTTTCTTCTCAAGAAAAATCTACTAATTTTCCTTCCTTGTTCTTCTTGTTCGTTTTACTAATTCACTCATTATGAAAAAAAACAAATAATTTTTTTGACAAATTTTGAAACTCATTTTCAAAACATTTTAACTGATTGTTTTCTTAATACAATTCCCCCTCTTTTCCCTCCATTTCGAAACCAACAACAACAAATAATACTGATAAATCAAAAAACCTTTTTCTTAAACAAAAAAAAAAAAATCCGAAAAAATTGAAATAAAAATAACGCCCGCTCGCTCGCTCGTTTGTAACAAATCGCTCGCCACAACAACGCATCATCATGGATTTATGCAACTAATTTTTAAAAACCCAAAAAACAAAAAAAAAAACTAAAAAAAATATACATGGATTGTAATAAAAAAAAATTTTGAAAAAAAATCCTTAAATAAACCAAAACAAAAAATAATTGTAACAACACTCACACACATACATCATTACTTAACACATACACCTATCACATCATCACATAATTATCTTACTCGCTCTCTACTATATCTCTCATATTATTTTAAATATTAAAATATATATGTGCAAAACTAAATATATTTTTTAATGAATGAAACAAAAATGAATTGTGTTTTTGGAACGTAAAACATCAACAAATTCGAAATATCACCATCACCACCAATACCAATCAAAAACCAAAATCTAAAATACCTAACAACTAATATTTTTTGTCATCTATGAAAATGTTAATGAAACAACATTTAAAAATATAAAAAATCCACCAAAAAATACCGTAGAAAACCTGGGTAAATTATATTCATTATTTTGATTTCATTTTTTTAACACAATGAAAAAAATTATTTTTGTTTTAATTTTTCATTTATTTACATAACCATTACCAAGAATATTTAAGCAATCATTAAGAAAATCATGCATTTTTATTTTAACTTTTTTATTTCATTTAATTAATTTTTATTTTATAATGGAAATTTAGAATTTAGCTTTAGATTTTAGTTTAAGCCATATTCAAATGTATTCAAAAATTAATAAATTATATTTTCAATTTTTTATTATAACAAAAAACTACAACAACAACATACATCACCTTTAAACCACACTACAAAATGTACACACACAACCACCTCCCCTCCAAAAAAAATATACACACATGAATCTACATTTTGACACTTCACCTTCATCACGTTTTTTCAACATCCAAATACTACAACACCACTGGAATATTTTTAATAACAAAACAACAACATCATCAACAACAACAACAATACCAATGTGTCTCTCCATGCGTGTGTGTGTGTGTTTTTTTGTGTACCAAACAAAAAAATATATATTGCCCCAAAATCGAAACAGTACCACCCACGGAGATGATTATCTGGGATGAAAAAGGTGATCGCATCACAAATGGCAGTGTAATCGGTCCCATGCAGGAACGTCAAATGCTGAATTTGACATGTGTTGTCTTGAATACGACACCGCTGCCACAGGTCGGCTGGTATCGGGGGAATAAGCGGCTGTCAACAGGTATGTGCAATTTTTTTTATTTTTTTATAAAGAAATTATTTTAAAATTGAAAATATATGGCACAGATTTTTAGCCCAGTATCCTTTTAAATGCCATTTTCTTGGATCTAATAAAATTCATAGGTTTTATAAAAATAATTTTCTAGGGTCTGGTATTCATTTGAAAGCTATTTTTCAAGGCCTACCTTTAAGATTGAATTAAAAAAAAAAACTTTTCAAAGGCCTAGCACGAAGCACTTTCTTTAGCCACTGTCAGATTTTTTACAAATATTTTTTAAGAACTGCGGGAAAACATAATTTTTTAAATATGTTTAAAAACTTAAAATTTTTTATTTAAGTTTTTTTATTCCTAGAGGGACTTTAGAGGCCCAAGGCGTGGATTTTTTTAAATAATTTCTTAGAGGGGCTTTAGAGGCCCAAGGCGTGGATTTTTTAAATAATTTATTAAAGGGACTATAGGGGGTCAAGGCGTGGATTTTTTGAATAATTTTTTTAAAGGACTACAGGGGCCCAAGGCTTTTTGATTTTTTTAAATAATTTTTAGAGGGACTATAAACGTCAAAGACGTGCATTTTTTAAATAATTTCTTTGAGGGACTTTAAGGGTCCAAGTCGTGGATTTTCAAAATAATATCTTAGAGGGACTTTAGAGGCTCAAGGCGTGGATTTTTTAAATAATTTCTTCGAGGGACTATAAAGGTAAAAGGCGTGATTTTTTTAAATAATTTATTAGAGGGTCTATAGGGGTCGAAGACGTGGATTTTTTTAATAATTTCTTCGAGGGACTATAAAGGTAAAAGGCGTGATTTTTTTAAATAATTTATTAGAGGGTCTATAGGGGTCCAAGGTGTGGATTTTTTTCAATAATTTCTTCTAGGTACTTTAAGGGCCCAAGGCGTGATTTTTTTAAATAATTTATTAGAGGTTCTATAGGGGTCGAATGCGTGGATTTTTTACATAATTTCTTCGAATGACTATAACGGTGAAAGGCGTGCTTTTTTAAAATAATTTATTAGAGAATCTATAGCGGTCCAAGGCGTGGATTTTTTAAAATAATTTCTTCGAATGACTATAACGGTGAAAGGCGTGCTTTTTTAAAATAATTTATTAGAGAATCTATAGCGGTCCAAGGCGTGGATTTTTTAAAATAATTTCTTAGAGGAACTTTAGAGGCCTTAGGCGTGGCTTTTTTAAATAATTTCATAGAGGAACTTTAGAGGCCTTAGGCGTGGCTTTTTTAAATAATTTCTTACAGGGATTTTAGGGGCCAACGTCTTGGATTTTTTTCTAAATTATTTTTAAAGTGCCTATGGATGTCAAAGGCGTGTATTTTTAAAATTATTTTATAGATGGCCTATGGATGTCAAAGGCGTAGATTTTTAAAACGATTTTTTAAAGGGTCTATGGATGTCAAAGAGATGGATTTTTAAAATATTTTATTAAAGGGTCTATGTATGTCAAAGGGATGGATTTTTAAAATAATTTATTAGAGCGCCTATGGATGTCAAAGGCGTGGATTTTTTAAATGATTTATTAGAGGGCCTATAGGCGTGGATCTTATAATAGAGGTACAGAAACATTATCCACATTTTAAAGGTCTTAGCTACACTTTTGAAGTTATTAGCCTCATTTTGCCCAACAAAGTGGCAATAATTTGGCACTCCGGGAAAATTGATATAGCTCCCATATAGGGAATTTTGAATGTCTTAGCCGTTCTCAGGCTCTTCGAGGGTAAAGACATATTCTTAGGAAAATTTTCACAACAAAGTCAATATAAATATAAGTTTATACAAAGTCAAATTTAAATGTCTTGCATAATTTCATGGCATATTTCTTAAAAAAGGGAAATGTCTAGAAGATTCTGGCAAAACATGTTCATATCAATACTGTTTTTTTTTAATTTTTATATTTTTTGTTCAAATTTGAGCTCCCCTAAAATGTTTCAAATTAAAAATCACTCCCAAAATATCTCCCTAATTAAATTCGAGACCATAAAAATAAAGTCATTAACTTCTAAATTTTATGGGAAAATTGTAAAAATTGAAACATTGTCGATTGAAGATGATGATGATGACATCATAAAAAATACAAAATTGCAAACAATTATCTGCAGCTATTATTAGAATTGTGTAGAAAAAGAGGTAAAACGATTTATTACCACAGAAATTAAAAGCCGATTTGAAATAAACAATACGATAAAATTGTAATGTGAAAAGGATAATAATGATTTTAAATAAGAAGAAGATTTTAAGAAGGACGCTTTATAAAAATCCATAAACATTAAAAATTCATTTACACTTTCCTTAAAGAAATAAATTAAAAACTTCTATAGGCCTTGGAACTTTGCAATGGCGTCAACGAAAATTTAATGACAAATTCTTGTATTCAATTATTTTATTTATTAAAAGATATAAATTATTTAATTTCCAAACTTTTATGGACCATAAAATCAAAAATATTTCAATACAAAAATTAAATTCTAATTTAATTAATTTTCATGTATCTCATCCCTTTCCTTTCTCTCATTTTTATAGTCGATCCCCATTACGATGAAAAGGATGGCCTGTACAATGTCACCGTGGAATTATCACTGCAGCTGTCACGTGAAGATTTGGGCCATACAATTGAGTGTCGTGCCGAATCGGCAGCCATTGATAATGTTATGTCCACACATTTTAGTTTGGATTTACAAGGTAAATAACACCATCATCAACAACAAAATAATTTCCCCTCTTTTATAACAATTATACAATTATCTATAAATTTAAGCAAATTATCAACAACAACAAATTGCTCTACTATTTTGTTGTTTTTTATTATTATTTACTCACCTAATTTTCCTTTGTGCTAATTGCAGTTCGTCCCACCAACATACACATTAACGGTGTAGAAAAATACACCGTCCAAGGCAGTAAAGTGGTGTTAACCTGCAGTGTAAGTATTGACAATGTTTTTTTTTTTAAATTACTTTGTTTTTGTTTTGTGATTTCCTTTTGGAGTTTCCTTCAAACGAATGAATCCTTTAGCAGTACGGACAATTCACGTAGTTAACCATTGACCAGGTTTCCTGTTAATACAATTCCTAGAATGTTGCTGTTTTTTCTGTGTTTTTACCATTGGCTCACCTTTATTGGCCATAATGACATCATCCTCATATAGGTCAGTTAGTTAGTCAGGTTAGGTCAGTTAACTTCTGTACACCGTAGTTAGGTGTTGAGTGTTGGCGTTGACAATGATTTGGTCATCGTACGTGCCAACATGTAATTGACAATAATTAAGTGCCAATTATTTTGTGATTTTTAAATACGATGAAGACAAGGAATGAAGCAGAAGCAGCAGCGGAAGAGTCCAATGAGTTCCATTAAAACATAGTAGATATGATATTCATGGGACTCATCATCAAGTGGGGGTAGTGACACAGTTCTAGAAGCCCTACGAAAATTATGATATTTTGTTAGGAAAATGGTGTAAATGAAAATGTGCTGAGAGAGTGGAGGTGTGTGCCGAATAATTTACACTTTTTTGTCTGGCAAAGGAATTTACATTAAAGCAAAAATAATATCTGGCAGAGGATTTTCTTTTTGTAAGAGCTTCATTAAAGGGCTTCGTTAAATTCCATTGGAAAAGAAAAACAAGAACAACTGAAAAATATTTCTTAATGGAAAAATTAGAAATGGTTATTATTACTTGTAACGTGATTGTGGAATATAAAGGCACATTGCCTTGAATTATATTAAAATTATTTTATAAAAATACCTAAAAGAATGTCTAAACGTATGGTGAACCCTGACTGTCGCCCAAAACAATTCCTCAAAATTATGAAATAAAGGAAAACCCCTAAAAAATACGAAAAAATATTTTATTGGTATGCGGATCCGATATTTAGTCTATTTTTTCGTGATTTTAGAGAAATGCAGTGTTTTTCTTAGTAAATATGTACATAAAGACATTAAAACTAAAGACCCCTAGTCCTAAGGATTTCTGAAAAATATTTGCTTCGAAACTGGTTCTTAAACATAACCAAATTCAGGAATGCTTTTAGAAATAGCCTGAAAAACATACAGGCTATTTCTAAAAGCATTCCTGAAAAAAAAATATATCAGGACCATTATAGTGGCGATGTCCGAAAATAGACCTTGTAGAGTATTTATTTTCTGAGTATCTTCCCTCAAACTATATTTCAGGGAGGAAGCGTTCAATGTACCCAAAAGAGATCGGGACGTTCATATGGTGGATATGTAATTGACCTATCTTTAACATTTTCTGGGCGGATTCTTTTCATGTTTAAATATGAATTTATTGATATTCTGACTCCAAGAGCCCAGAATGCCAAATTAGATCATTTTTGTTAGGAAAAGGTGCAATGAAAATTCCTAAAATAGAGCAGTATTGATACTGACAATTTTCTACGACTTTTCATAGCTACACATAAAACGGGAGCCCTTGATATGGGAGATATGTTAAAATATGGACCTAAACTGACAATGTTCTACCAACCAAGAACCAGCGATCCTAATTACAGCCACTTTAGCTAAGAAAATTTACTTAGGTTCATCGAAATACCCAAAATGGGTCGGGACTTTTATAGCATAGTCTTCAAGTAATTGCTTACCCTCGAAACGTCAAATTATAGCCTCTTAGGCGATAAAATGCATCTGGGATCATTTACAAAAATATTGATGGAAAATTTGGGTATAATCTTAAAGAATGTCAAAAAATTGTAAAAATTCTGAGCTGATATAACTTTTTTTCATGTGGCAAATTTCAAAGCTCTATCTTATATATTTCGAGCTCTACCAGAAGACAGAACAACGAACAAACCTACAGTAGACCAAACTAAATCGACATAGAATTTTATTCTGATCAATAATATGGGGTATCCGAAGAATATTTCGAAATGTAGCAGTGCAGAACAAATTTGATAAACTATCGCCCTTATTGTAGAGGGAATAAAAAACGTCCTCAAATTCGTCACTGACGAACGCACGCCCTTCCAGTAGGTGTAGCCAAACCATGACATAACAATTCCGGTGGTGCCATTAACCTGAATCTATTCCTTAATAGACATACCCCCATAAAATTCGAAGATGATATTTGAAAAATATTTATTTATTTTTTCCAAATTCATTCGTTTTGAAGTATTCAAAAACAGGCTGTCAGCCACATAAAAAAAATCCAATTGACTTCTAATATTATTTTTTATATTTTCTTTTACTATTCCCTTAGGTCTATGGTGCCCGACCACCAGTCAATCTAACATGGATGAATGCCACACAGACCATAGATCCAGCCGATAATGATTTGACAGAAATTCGCACCAAGGCGGTATGTATATTTTGAAATTTTATTTATTTTTGATTTATTTTTAATTTTTTTTTCCACATTTTCTTTTCAGATTGAACAAGCGGATGGCACCTTTTATACCCAATCAGATTTGCTATTCAATGCCACGCGATTTGAAAATGACAAAGAATTTCGCTGTGAGGCTGAAAATATTGTAACAAAAATGAATGGTGAAAAGCCGTTCCAGGCCCTATTGGGTTTGGAGGTGTTCTGTAAGTATAGACCAAAATATAAAAACTTCAAAATTCATAGAGGAACATTAACTCTAAATAAGTTGAGTTTTATTAATCTTAATTATCGTCCTTCTTTTTTCTGCTTATCTTATTTCCCTCCAGATCCCCCTGTCATAACACTGAACCCCTTGAATGCCACAGTGAATACTGGAGACAGTGTTCTACTCTATTGTGATTATGTGGCAAATCCAGCTACTTTGAAAAGTGTCGTGTGGTAAGTACAAAAACTTTAGTTAGTTGACGGGACGAAGTGACATTTAATTTCTAAAACAAAATTGTTGTTTAGATTTTAAATATTTTTAGAAAAATTTGAAATTACTTTTCATTATATGCTATGGACACTACTAAATCCCACACTCATTGGTGGGGGTGCTACGAATAGGCCATGTTTAGAAATTCTAATTAAAAGCAAATATAAACAGCAACCGACCATATGTGGCAAATATATATAGACTCTACAAAAGCTGCATACACAGACACACACATATTGTGACACACTCACATTCTGACACACACGTATACGGAACACGTACGTAAGAAGTGTGTTCTATGACAATGCAAAACTAACAATCAGTTGCATTCAGAATTGTTCCTCCGCCTGCTAACAACCACAGTGAAAATTCACTGCTCTATCTGTGGGTTCTGTGTGACGACAAGTGAGTTTTGGTTGAGCTTGGGGAACAATACCAATTTCTATTTTAAACTGACTGTCATCATCATCATCATCGTCGTAGTCGTGATCATCATAATGTTATAGAGGATTTTTAACTGCAATGGAATTCGGAATTCACATGCATTTAATGATGACACGCACGTTCGAACCAATATACACACACAGTGACACTTGTGTGTGTGAGTTCATGCACACACACGCATCAGACCGTTGTCTGCCAGTAAGGCGTCGCCGTATCCTATATATTCAACAATAGTTTTTAACCGAAGTTACCATGACCACCGAAACTGATGATTAAAGTGCATGATTGTGGTCTAGAAGGGGGACATTGTGGACGTATGAAATTCAGAGAGATATTTTTTTCTGTGAACTATTAAAAAACAATAATATAGTTAAAGTGCCTTAAAGTATGCTTTGGAAATTCAATTTTTAGAAAATGTACCTTATGGGTCCAAAATAGTGCATAGTTCCGATATAACTGTTCCTCTTCAATATTTGTATCTTGAAGGTCCCAAATAATTTTCTCAAGGGACTATCTTGTAATCTGGAATTTAAGATTTTCAATTATAAAAGGCCCTTCCTCTAGTTCCAATTTTGCCCCCAGCCCTCATTGATATGTACCGGTTGGTTTTCGCTATTTTTTTTATAAGGTCCCTGTCACCTTACCGAACGATTTTCGTATTTATTAGGGTTGGAAACTTCTCCTTTCAATTTCCAAAAATTCGACATTTTTCAGAAAATATCCTTTATGGGTCCAATATCCATATTTTGAAGGCCTCAAATAAATTTCTCAGGCGACATTTTTGGTTTGTAATTTAGTATTTTAGTGTGGCACCTAGCTTTTATATAAGATTACCGGTAGATTCCTATATATAGAAATCGGAAACTTTTGGACCATGGTTAGATATAACCACCTTATAATTATAACTCAGAATTTTAAATATTTGGAAAGTTGTAAGGGGTAAATACCTTCCAAATAGAGGTCTACTTTCGGGCATATCCTTCTATCAACAGAAAATCCCGATTTACAGCAAGCTAATAGGTCTAGCCACATTTTCTAGCTGATATTACTTTGAAATTTTTGAGGGGCCTAGCAATATTTTTAAAGGAAGTTTCCTAGCAGTTCGGCTCATCAACATTGGTCCAAGTTCTTGATAGTTTGAAGGTCGCTGCCTCAGTTTTTAGCCGAATTGGCTAAAATTTATTTTATCGAAGACATCGAACTCTGGAAGTCTTGTTATGGAAGTCCAGGAGCCCTTCCTATAGAAGACATGAAACTCTTCATATTGGAGGCCTGGAGCTCTTCTTATCGAAGACCAGGAGTTTTTCTTATCGAAGACCTGGAGCACTTCTTATCGAAGACTTGAAATTCTGGAGCTCTTGCTAGAAGTAGGAATTTCTTCTTATCGAAGATCTGCACTATTTCTTATCGAAGACCTGGAGCTCTTCTTATCGAATATCTAGAACTTTGGCGGTCTTCTTTTGCAAGACCTAGATCTCTTCTGATCGAAGGGGGAAATAGTTGTGAATATTTTAAATAATCTGGCTTGGCCAACATAAAGGGCTCCTTTTTGTCGAAATTAATTGACTTCATAAAATACTTTGTTCCACTTTTCAATGTTTTGTTATTTTTGTTGTTGGATTTTTGTATTTTAATTACCAAACAAACCAAGTCGATTTTCTCACAACCGCCCTACCAGGAGTTTAATTAAAAATTTAATAAAAATTTTATTTTCTGGTAACTTCAACATTTGTTTCAAACCCCACAAAACAGGAAGTCACAAAGAAAGAGGAAGTAGAGAAAGAAAAAAATTGCCCCCGAAAAAAATCCAAAAAATATGAAATAGTTAAAAAACCAACATCATGCATTAGTTGTTGTTGCTGTTGTTGCCTTGGCATTTTTCGTTTTGTGTCACTTATGTGTGAACAACGTTAGATTCTTAACAAGTTATGTGCTTTTTTGTTGTTGGTGTGTTTTGTCAAGCTGCCGGCAATAAAAGCTAGAGCAACAACAACAGCAATAACACTCATATGAACACTAATTGAAAATGCCACAAAAACCTGTGGCACATTGCAGGCAGGCAGTTAAAAGACAAGACAGTAACTGCCAGCAATCATCGGCAGTGGCAACAGCAGTGGCAGTAGTAGCAGCAAAATGTTTTGTTGTTGTTGCTGCCAGCCAGCCCGGCCACAATCACATCCACAAATTGACAAACATTTTTGGGAATCCTTAAGAAAATTGAATTCAGTCACTCACTCTCTCTCGATCACAGTCACAATCACCGGCTGATGACAAGGAAACTAGAAACTAACAACAGGATAGATGTGTGTAACATCACTTCGACACATACACACACATATGTATATGTAAATGCATGTGGAATAGTTTGCCAACTGTGGCTTAGGTTCTTCTTCTTCCAACATCATCGCCAGCAACTGCTGCTGCCGACTGATGATGACAAAAGATGTAAAAATTCCTGCCTGCCACCACTACAAATGGTGGCTGGCAAATATGATAACATTTTTAGACTTTAGAATATTCTTTGTGCGTGTGTGTGTAATTTTTTCATCTTCCTCTTTGTTTTATTTTATTTTTGAAGACAAGCTAAATCCTCATATGTAAATCAAAAGGAAGAAATCCACATTTTTTCTCCCATGGAAATCTTAACATTTCCATCAAAATGTCTACGCCAAGATTTTGGGAACTTCATTTGCAAAAATGTACAGCAGTTGAGACCAGTTTAAGCCCAGATGTGTGTCATTCTTACCACATGTGTCTCTCTATATGTGTGTGTGTACCCTGACTACTCATTTGCCTTAAGTCTTATATTTCGTTACATGCATGCAAATAATAAAATATATATTTGACACAAATATGTCCGACTGACTGTCTAACTGTCTAGTTGTGGGACATTTTTAACCAAAACTTATGCAGCTCGGGCATTTCAGTAGCATGCAACTGACGACAACGTGAAGAACGGAACACAACGAAGAGGACTTTTGCGAATGGATGATAACATTTTGCAAGGAAGCAGAGTCTTAAGGATTTTTCTTTTTGAGTCTTAATTATGGAAGAGAGATTGTAAAACTAAAGTCATCACCATAAGTTGGCTTGTGCAAAAAAAAAGGACGAAACGAAACTATACACCCTGTGTTGACTGTAGTCCCTCTGCATGCCAGTGTGTGTGCGTAACGTATGTTACCATTCAGAGTTTTTTTTCGGCTGTTCTTAAATATGTACATCTACGTCCTTCAACTGTTGTCATTGTTAGCGTTGTTGTTGCAGTTCTGTTCTTCCTTCTTACTAATGATAGTATGAAAATTGTTACATGCATAAAGACGATTTTTTTATATATGTATTTATGTTTAATTTAACAGGAAGTAAAAGTTTTGACTTAAGTACTTTTCCAAACGAGGTTGGGTAGGAAAGTTTATGGGGGAAATATAGATGCTTATGCACTTCTACCATTCTTGAGCCACATAGGGGATAAAAATATCAAAAAATTGAATTTTGTCTAAAAGTATGCATTATTTTATTTAGTGCCTAAAAGTATGCTCAAATTTGGAAAATAAATTTTAATACAGACTTATTCTGTGCCTAAAAGTGTGCTAGTATTTCTGCATACGCTTTGAATATCTTTGAATATTTAGTATATGATTTTACTACCTAATCCGATTCAGAGGTTGAAATTCAGAACAATAGTGATGGTATTCTCTGTGAGTGTTGTAATGTTGATCATTGTACTCAGGGCAGGGTGTAACAAGTTTTTATACCCTATATTATAGAATTACTTTCTGAATTGATGTATGCATGTCCGGCCGTCTGTTGATCTTAAACAAAGCACAGGTCGCATTTATGTTGCGAATTGAATGAAATTTGGCACAGCTCATTTATTTGGCCAAGGACGAACCCTATTGAATTTGGTAAAATCGGTTCAGATTTAGATATAGCTCCGACTTAAGATAAATGGTGTGCCAAAGTCCCTAAATATCTTTCGATTTGTACGAAATTTGGCATAGCGTACTAGAATGATGAGTGCTAAGTTTCGTGGAAATCGGTCCATATTTTGATATAGTTCCTATATATATTTTCGTCCGTTTTAAGATAAATGGTGAACCAAAGTCCCTGTATATCTTTCGATTTGCACGAAATTTGGTATAGCGTACTGAATTAAGTCTAGAATGATGTGTGTTAAGTTTAGTGAAAATCGGTTCAAATATATCAAAATAACAAGAAGTTTAATTGAAAATATGCTATTCTTACAATTAATCTTATGCTAATTCATTTAAAATATATGCCTAAAAATATGCATCACTTTTTTAAATTCCTGCTTAGAAGTCTCAAGCTAATAAAATGTTAGTTGTATTCATACAAGAGGTTTAAGATCTACACCGAAATATAACCAATCGATAATATTCAAAATACTATTCATAGCAAACGCCTAAAAGTATACATTGTTTCTTAAAAAAATTATATGAGCCACACAATTTAATAATATGAAAAATAGTAGTTTTCGATATAGGTCCATATTTTTCCTTAG